TAGACGAAGTGGTCATTCTAAGCTGAGATTGGATCATTTTCTATGGTCGGAGAGACCCTTTTGTCAGGTTTTTTTTGCTGATAGTGTGTCCCTTTTTAAAACCTTTCGTTTTCTTCGTAATGCCTGAACAATGAGGCATTCGATGCTTGTATGCTTTAGGTATACGCCACGCATCCTACTCCCATTCATGGTCACATATAATTGAAATTGATCTGCAGCACACTGTGACCTGCGGAGTGAGTCTGCGTGCAAGCTGTGCACCGTGCGCATTCTTGAGGGCAGGTCCAGTATTAAGATAGAAGGTTTAGTTGGCCTTCGGAGGAACCGATCTTACCATTAGATTCAATGCTAGGATGTAAATAGTTCGCGGTGAACGGCGTCAGTTGCCGTTGTCCAGTAGTATGAAGCCATGAGAAAACTTCAGAGCGTAGCACCATTTGGCAGGCTTGTAAAGCAACAATTCTTAGTTAGCCCCATACCGGTACCAGTCAACTTGGGAGGAAGAGTTGGCGCGCAGCGCCGCTGCCATGTCACGTGGGTTGGGTAGCTGCGTGCTTATCCCTCTTGAAACGCCTTTTAGCAGCGCAGAGAGTTGTTCATGAGCTGTGTTTTGTCGTGAGTGGAAGCCTCACGAAAGTATTCCGGTAGTTTCCACGACCTAATGTGTACTAGTAGTTTTGCAGCGGCTTCCATGGAATCACTCCCTTATTTTAAACCTCGATAAGATGGAGACAAGATTTTCACCCATTTCTTTCTAGGCTTTGCTTACAGTATTACACGGAAATTCAATATTATTGTTTATTACGAGGTACACACAAGAAGAAATGATGAAGATCACATGTGAGAATCGATCAGTATCCTGAGGGTTGAGCGGGTGCTGGTACTGGCCCTGGGGCGCAGTCTGGAGCTGGTGCTGGCTGAGCAACTTGGACTGGGGGCTGCTCAACTGGAGCTGGTGCGGGAGCTGGTCCTGGGGCAGGGGCGACCTGTTCGTCTCCGTAAGCATTGCGCTTAGCTCTGTATCCTGATGGTTGAGCGGGTGCTGGTGCTGGTACTGGGTCACAGCTAGGAGCTGGTGCTGGCTGAGCAACTGGACTGGGGGCTGCTCAACTGGAGCTGGTGCGGGAGCTGGTCCTGGGGCAGGGGCGACCTGTTCGTCTCCGTAAGCATTGCGCTTAGCTCTGTATCCTGATGGTTGAGCGGGTGCTGGTGGTGGCGCTGGGGCACAGTCTGGAGCTGGTGCTGGCTGTGCAACTGAGACTGGGGGCTGCTCAACTGGAGCTGGTGCGGGAGCTGGTCCTGGGGCAGGGGCGACCTGTTCGTCTCCGTAAGCATTGCGCTTAGCTCTGTATCCTGATGGTTGAGCGGGTGCTGGTGGTGGCGCTGGGGCACAGTCTGGAGCTGGTGCTGGCTGTGCAACTGAGACTGGGGGCTGCTCAACTGGAGCTGGTGCGGGAGCTGGTCCTGGGGCAGGGGCGACCTGTTCGTCTCCGTAAGCATTGCGCTTAGCTCTGTATCCTGATGGCTTGAGCGGGTGCTGGTGGTGGTACTGGGTCACAGCTAGGAGCTGGTGCTGGCTGTTCAACTGGGACTGGTGGCTGCTCAACTGGTGCTGGAGGACCTGGTGCTGGAGCAACAGGGGCTGGAACGACCTGTTCGTCTCCGTAAGCATTGCGCTTAGCTCTGTATCCTGACGGTTGAGCGGGTGCTGGTGCTGGGGCACAGTCAGGAGCTGGTGCTGGCTGTTCAACTGGGACTGGTGGCTGCTCAACTGGTGCTGGAGGACCTGGTGCTGGAGCAACAGGGGCTGGAACGACCTGCTCGTCTCCGTAAGCATTGCGCTTGTGGACTGAAATATAAAAATTAATTCCGGACAAAAAGTGATTCTAAAGGCAGACATCTCCCATAATTATATTAAGGAAGACTTTCAACATGGAAAGATGTAAGACTCACCAGACTTGGAACTGGCGAGCGCCACAAGGGCGGGGAGGAGGAGCAGTAGTTTCATTGTGGCAATGCTACTGCTTTACCACCGGGCTGCCTTTTATATCATACCGCGACTGACCTTTCAAATGGGGTAAAAACCGGATTTCTTCGTGCGCGCAATTTCTCGGCGGCTTTCTTGAGTAGCCGAAGACTACAAGTGAACCGAAATGTCTGCACACACAGTTGAGCTCCGTACACTATCATATAGTTGGCTCTGCACCTCTAAGAACTAAGGACTAGCTGCTTAGAGCATTCTGTTCCGAGCTAGTATTGCAAATATTGCATAAACCGCTCCAAAACTCCAGGCCCTCCACTCAATTTGTTTAGAGTTTCAAATTTAGAACTGAAATTCCACAAAATCTATTAACTGATTCTATTTCCATTTTGTTTTTTGAGAAAAACAACTCAATTTCAATGGATAATACGAAGTTTTCTAGTATAGGAGGGATTGAGCCCATACCACCTTAGCCGTTCGCAGAGGAACATACAAGGGTTTTACGGACCACACACCTTTCATGAGCTCTGTAGTTCTTCTAAGCAGAGAGACTGGTGATCGTTGTATCGGCTGAATCGGCTTGAACTTTTCTAACTGGGATGTCCGTACTTTTCCTTTGCGGTCAAACACCTCTCGTGAACGGCCCCTACTGCCAGCCACTCCACTACCTCTCCCAACTCCAAGTTGTGAGATCCCTTTCCGTGGTCAGAAAAAAGCCAAGTTTGCGTCAGAAAGAGAGCAAAAAAAGCGACATGTTCGGGCTCAACTTTCTTGGGGTCCCACAAAAGTCACCTTACCTCCTCCGGTTTCCTTTTCTTCAAAGCCAAGTGCCGCTTGATGCTCTGCTATTAGTTTCTTCTTTCCTTGCCTACCAGCTATTCACTGGCTGATCAATGCCCACTTCTGTGGACTCACTTGGAGACTACTCGACCACAATTCTCACTTTCTTTGACTCTGAATAAGAATTAGTTAAACAACGCAGATGGATAAAAACTGGATAAATGGCTAGCTTATGAAGGCCTTCAGTATTTGATGCCTACTGCAAGTCCTGCGACGCTATACAAGCTCGAAACACTGCTCCATTCCCCAGATCCAACAGGTGGACTTGGGTCGATTAGTTTTATTCATGGTAATCGCTGAGAAGAAATGAGAAGTACACACGGCTAGTCAAAGTTGTCGCAAACTTATCCGAGCCTGCCTAATGTCTTGATTTTTTCACGAGACCGGCATTTGCTCCAAAATATGGGTTTTAGAAACTGCAGCTGCAGTCGGTAATCACTTTGAAAGCGGCTTGTTTTGCGTTAGAAGAAAGTATCCTGATTGGGCTAGGTGGAGGGGTCGTGCATCATTATGAGGCTTCGGAAAAAAAATTAGAAGGAAATTCTGGATATATCGCTCATCACGTACTGTATACCCCAATTCCTACAAATTGGCGAGCTTATGTAACCTCTCATCCCGGCAGTTGATTAGGCGCGTCGTCATACGGCCGCACCGCGTGCCAGCCGAACTATTGGCTTTCCAGGTGAATTAGTCAATTTGTTCCGACCTTGTTGAAGATGAAGGACTGCCTAAACTTGGGAAAAGTCACCGCCAGAAAATTTGAAATTAAAAAAGACCTTAAATTCGTCTGGAAAAAGCATAATAGTCCTGGCACGCGCTACGCGCCCTGTGACGACCGCCCAATCAACTGCCCCGATGAGCGCAGGTAATCGTAATTTTTTTTCTGATAGCGCGCACAGGTTTATATAGTGGGCATCTTTATACGCCCCGAAAGCACGTTCCCGACATATTTCGTCGTTCTTCAAAGGCCGTGGTCCGTGAAAGCATACCGAAACTCGTAAAATACGATCTACCCAGTTTAACGCCAGCTCATCCTCTAATTGTAACTCAGACCAAGGGACTACAATGAATAGGAAATTCAGACGACAAGCTACACATCGTCAGTTCCACCAGCGCCGGATGATCTGCTCAACTTTAAAGATCCAACTGAGCAAGCAAGGCGAAAAATTGGCCAGCTTTTCTAGGATTTTGTTGCGAAATCTGAGATAATCAGGAGTCTATAATTAGAGATCCGGACTTCAAACTTCATTGTTGGACATCTACATAATCGCTCAACTCATTTATTTCCTGTAACTGCTGACAGCATTACCGTCCTTACTACGTACTGTTTGACCAGAAACCCAGCCAATATGGAGCACTTTAACCGAAATTATCTTCTAGGCCAATTCGCAAATGAGCTGAATACCGAAGTCGCAAAAATCTAGACTCTATGGCCCTCAACATCGCCCTGAACTTCCTAAGTGTTTGAGATCCTGTTGTTTTTTTTGTTGCTGTCTTGCCTCGTGCATAGTTTTGCTCTTGACTCTTAGGCCCGTTATTCGGAGAACCTTTCTGGATATAAAGATCTATAGGTCTACTTCAGAGATGAATAGTTCGGCCATTGTTGAGGCACTCTTTTGCCGATGTTGACAGGAGTGCCGCTCCCATATTTGTGTAATTTCACATGCTTTGATGAGTGACCATCATCTCTTTGGAGATGAGACGGCATGACGTAATAGATCATTCCTTACGCTATTGTTTTCCGTTTGCTAAACATGCGAGAGGAGAGAGCTTGGCAAGCAGCGCAGAGATCTTATCGGGTTCTATGATTTCGGGACAGATTGCCCCAAGAATTGCCCTTGACCTTCGAAACTAGAACAATTTGACAAACTGTTTCTGTTTTTACGGGAAACCCCACACATCGTCTGGGTCTCTCCGGAAGTGACATAGGCAATGACGTCGATCGCTACTCTAAGAATAGCCCACCTGGAGTCTTTCCTCTTTCAGGCCTTCCACTGAATTTACCCCGATAATTTCTGGTCTACAGCAGCGTTGTACTTTAAACATTGTTACACTTGGCTGGCGGTGATCTGCGAGTAAATGACAGATGTAATGATAATAATCACGAGCTTCTCGTTGTTCACTTTTTGTGTCCTTCACATAACTATTACACGGGTGCATCGGGTGTGGGCGGTATAATTAATCTATCTTGAAACAATGCGCTTTATAGGTGTCAAATAGCATTAGGCAGAGCCAGGTGTTTTACCCGACCAATGGCCTCCAGCTTCTCCTTTCATACCACCCTTCTCTTTCCCAATCGACTTTGCTTCGGAGGAATCATAAGTATCGGCCAGGTCCTCAGGAGGTTGGGAAAACTTTTTGCAGAATACGACCCTCTCCTCAGAACTTCCCTCTCTGATACGACCCCAATTTTCCATCTCGTAGCCTACCTGGAATCCTCCTAAAGCTTCCCAACTTTATATCACGTTGCAGTCCCAACTTCCTACTACTTTTCCGGACTTATTTTCTGAAAACTATCCTCTTCTTACCCAAAATGCTACCGTCGATCGGGAGGGGGAGTGGATAACCCATTTGAAACCAAATACAATTCCCTCCTTCCAGTGACCAAATACGACACCCCTCGCTGGTGGTCCCAAAGTACGAAGTGCTTTGTTACGAAGAGCGATGTGAGACGGCAAATGAGGGTAGCCTTCTGAACTTATAGCAATAGTAAAAGATAAGCGGGTCATGTGCTGTGATTGATATGTTTTATAGGCCAACGAGGTTTTCAGGCTAAAGAATATGGTTGTGCCTCTCATTAAATTGCGGACTCGATTATAAGTGTGTGATGAGGTAGTCCTGACAGCCTATAGCCATGATGAAAGAGAAGCCTGACAACCTTACAGCTATTGTGTAAGAACAGTGCTTTTCGCTTTCGCAAGAGAGGGGGCAACACGCTATATCCTGCAAACTAGCGTGAAGCCACGAAACGGTTCTCAGGCTTTTGTAGGCCATACTGTACAGACCCGTGAACCCTGTGAAGGTAATTCAGCGGTAAAAATTGATGTGATACCACTCTGCAAGTTTGCAAGGTGTGCAGGTCTAATCGAAGCGGCTTCGCCGCAAGAGATTCCATTCCTCTATTTTTTGCATGGTTTTTTGGGCTCTTTTTCCGTATAAGCGTTCACGGATGGGAAACTGAAGTTACTAGCAAACTAGCAAAATGCCTTGCTCCTTAACATACTCACGTTTATACTAACAATAAGTGCAACTAGTACGATGGTTGAACTGAACAAGTTGTTCTCTTTTCCGGATCTTTAGGTTCGTTTTTTGAGGGTCTCACCAAGAGAAGGGAGCGCGGCGGAGTAGAGGGCCGTTCTCACTTTCAGAGTTTTGGGCAAACATATCTGGCCGGAGGGTGAACAAGTCACTGAACACTTTACTTACTTCATTAGTTTGTCAAAAACACTGAACAGAACGAGCAGTTGCCCATGGTACAAACTGAATATGCTTTAGAGAACTGTTTGGGCAAGTATCAAGGCGAAGCGTAAATTTTCTGCACCCCCTAGTGCTCAATTAGTGTTTTCATATTTGTTTTGTTCACATAGAAACCTCAGGTTTTCCGCTAAACGCACATCATCGTCGCATTAATCCTTAGGAACCCACCAAGGATTTAGAGAATTTTTTTGCAATTAATTTTTCTAATTTCAATGGCATTATGTATATAGCACGAATTACAACTCTTCGGTAGCTCATAGGCAACCCTCCCGCCCTCCCCACTAGACAGCGAAATTAGGGGAAGGTTTAGTTAGAAGGCGAATATGCGGATTGTAGCGGTAGGTCGAGCTCACACCACCATACATGATGGTCCCGGTACTAGGAGCAAGGCCGCTTTTTGTCAATAAAGGATAAAAAAGGATAAAGTCTTCGCCGTTGATCAATCCCTTTGTGGGATGCGGCACGCATTCTACTTCCATTCAGAATCGTAGTGGCTTATTGAATGGCCTATACAATGACTTGCGGTGGCCAGCCGATGTACAAGTCAGTGTTTTATCCTCCCAGACGAATCTGGAATTTACCGTCCCCGGAGGGTAGAAGGCTTGGTTGGCCTGGGCGGGAGTCGACCCGGGATTTGAACCCGGCGCCGCGCGAGTGGTAAGCGCGCCACTTGTCACTACACCACCTCCGCGCCTTTTTTTGTCAATACC